ACATGTGGTATGAGCCATAGCTCTGTACTCAGCTTATGCACTACTCCTTGCCACCACTGTTTGTTTCTTGCTCTTCCAAGTTACAAGATTGCCACCAAGGAAGGTACAATACCCTGTAGTTGATCTCCTGTCTGATATAGAACCAGCCCAATTAGCATCTGTATAACCTACTATTTCAATAATCCCTCCACTTTGGTATAGCAAACCACGACCTGGAGCACCCATCAGGTACCAAACAATCCTTAGAACTGCTTCCCAAAGAGGAATCCAAGGATGTTGCAAAAACTGACTCACCATACTCACAGCAAATGATATATCTGGTCGGGTAATAGTCAGATAATTCAACTTTCCCACCAACMTCYTGTATCTTCYAVGAWCATCAAACTCTTCACCTGCATCAACACTCAACTTGACATTAAGTTACATAGGAGTCTCTGCTGGTTTAGCACCTAACAGTCTTGTTTCTTCAAGTAGGTCAAGAACATATTTTCTTTGACATAAGTTAATTCCATGCCTTGACCTTGCAACTTCTATTCCCAGGAAGTACTTCAGCTTACCCAAATCTTTCGTATTGGAGTGGTCCTGTAGGAATTTCTTCAACCTGTCAATCCCGTTATTGTCACTCCCAATTATGACAATATCATCCACATACACCACTAACAAGATTTTCCCATCTTTTGAGTCATGTCTGAACACAGAATGGTCTACCTGACACTGTTTCATCCCAATGTCTTTCACTACACTAAACCTGCCAAACCATGTGCGTGAAGATTGTTTTAGTCCATAAATTGCCTTTTTGAGTCTACAAACCTTACCATCCTCCCCCTGAGCAACAAACCCTGGCGGTTGCTCCATATACACTTCCTCAATGAGATCACCATGTAGGAAAGCATTTTTTATGTCAAGTTGCACAAGAGGCCAATCATACATAGCAGCTAATGAAATCAACACCCGAACTGAACCAATTTTAGCCACAAGAGAAAATGTGTCCATATAGTCCACACCATACAGCTGAGAATAGCCCTTGGCCACTAACCTGGCCTTCAATCGCTCCACACTGCCATCTGGAAGATACTTCACCATGTAAACCCACTTACACCCAACAGCATGCTTACTAGGAGGAAGAGCAATGAATTCCCACGTGTGATTGTGTTGTAGAGTAAAGAGTTCCTCTTCCATGGCTTGCCGCCACCCTAGGGAGGTAAGGGCTTCCTGGACAGTCTTGAGAATGGAAACAGATGATAACAATGATATAAAGTTGCGAGGAGAAGCAGAAAGGTGAGCAGCTGAAACATAGTGTGAAATAGGATGAGAAGTACAAGTGTGTTTACCTTTCCGCAAGGCAATAGAAAGATCAAGGTCTAAGGGAGAAGAAGCAATGACAGGATCTGTCGACGAGGGCTGAATTGGAGGAGGGGTCGGTGCTCTTCTGTGAGTATACACTTGTTTGATTGGTGACCTCTCAGTAGTAACTGGCATGGGAGGTGAATCTGCAACTGGAATGGGAACCATGGGAAGGGGACCCGCAACAGGGACGGGAAGAGGAACTGCGATGGAAGGAGAAGAAACCACAGTATCTGAGAAAAAAGGAACTGATTCAAAGAATGTGACATCAGAGCACACAAATGACTTATGGAAGTTAGGGTTATAGCACTTATACCCTTTGTGAGTCCTTGAGTAGCCAAGGAAGATACACTTAGTAGCTCGTGCATCTAACTTGTCTAATCCAGGCCCCAAGTTTTGAACAAAACAAACACATCCAAAGACTCTTGGGGTGAGAGGAAATGGAGACATGGTGGGAAACAACACCGAGAAGGGGATTGACTTCCAAGGATGGACATGGGCATCCGATTGATGAGAAAACAGGATGTG